GATCTGTTCCGCTCGCACGACCTCTACAGGCTGCGGCCGCAAGTCGTCGCCCTCGGACTCGAAGCCACCGTCACCCGTGTCGTTCACCGTGTCTTTCACATCCTCATCCTCCTCCGGCTCAATAAGAACCACAAGGCCGTTCGGTGTCCACTTTGGCCGCCAGCTCGGCTCGAACGCCAGCTCCTCCGGCTGAAAGGTCTCCAATAGCCTTGCCTGCACCTCCATGGCCTCGTCCGGATAGCCCAGCAAGCCCATCTTGATGCTCACCGCCTCAAGGACTGCGGCCTCGTCCATTGGGTCACCTCTGCCCTGGTTGTCCCTCAGGAAGGCTGCAATGATCCTTTGAGCTCGTAGGATATTTGCACGGGTGGTCCGCTCGTATCCTTCATCGGCTGCTGGGCGCCACCTGCCCATTTGGCGCCTGATGTCCGGCGGAATCCTGGAAGCCGCCGCCCATGATCTCAGAGTTGCGCGCTCGCTATGTTCCGTCCACAATGTGCCCACTCCTGCGAACAACAGCGATGCCCTCTGACCTTGATCCATCGCCCACAGCTCGCCAAACAATGCTTGTGACATTGCCGATGCCGTCGAATAGTCTGCCATCCTGCGAGCAAATCCAGACCTGTCCATCGTCGGCCACGGCAACATAAAATCGCGGGTCAAAAGGCCCGCTTCCATGCTCATGTGGTTCCAGATCTTCCACCCCACCTCCAGCCACTTGGGGTAGCTGACCCAAGCTTCCTTGCTCACGTAGAACGGGAGAAGCAGGATCCTCTTCCCAGGGCCCGAGGGCTTCGACTTGTGGATGATGCCTACCAGGTGATTCTCCCTCAACTCAATGCTCCTGTTCGGCATGCCCTTGGTGTCGTCGAAACGAAGGCCAGCCCACAGCTTCACCAGGCGAAACCATGCATATGCCCTCGAGAAGGGCAGTCGGTCATCATCCATCACCATGGCCTCCATTGCTATGACAATGGCCAATGGCAGCAACAAGGCCTGTCTTGCCGGCTTCAACTCCACCGACGCCAATCTAAGCTGCGCCTCCTCGAGCGCGTTCCTCACCGCCGAGGACTTGTGAATGAAGTCGACCTCACTCACCTCCCCGGCGAACTCCATGAACATCAGCGTCTTATATGCAGCTTCCGGCGCCGACTTGGCACAAGGCTCTTGCACGATCGCCTCCAGGTATTCGGCAAACTCTGAAGGTGCCGATGGCCACGGTTTTCCGAATGTAGCCTCCAACCATTGTCCGACCTTTTGCCAAGTCTTGACGTGCTTTCTCAAAGTGTTCGGACGTCTGCCCTTGGCGATCCGCATCATCAGGGAATCTTCTGCCGTCCAGCGAGTGACTGGTAGATCGGCCTTCTTCATCAAGGCCCGTAGCTCTCCCAGCCACCTCTCCCTCTCAGACTTCTCGGCCTGTTCACGCAATGCCAGGTCCGAGCCCGCTAGATGGAGCTTTCTCCCAACCGCGTGGGCCACTTGAAGATCTTCGCCTGGCCCACCATCTTGATGCGCTCTGCAATCTCGCGGCCTTCAAGCCCTTCCATCACCTTCCGCCTCTTTTGCCTTTGATGCTCTAGATGAGCTTCAAGCAGGTCTTGGGACCCACGGCCAGCATCTGCTCTGTGGATGTTTGCTAACCTATTGTCACACTGCGTGACGAGATCCCGAAGGCCTGAAGTGTCCTGGCCGAAGGTCTCCTTCTTCTTCCTGGCAGAAACTAGGATGCAATCGAGGATCCTTTCCTCACATCCCCTCAACGTGGTCAACTTGGTCGTCGACCATCCTAGCTCTGCCAGGATATACAAATCGGGGTCGGTCCACCCCGCCAGTGACCCACACACCCACACAGGAAAAGGTCCTGTGTGGACAAGTCCATCGCGGCAACGCTAGATCCCCCTTGAGACGAAACCGGAGGGGGTCTCGAACCGCGATGACTGCGCGGATCGATTCGTGACAGACCCCATGTTTCACATGAGTTATCATTTCTATTCTTATTATTTATATTCCCATTATATGTATCCTATCTTCGAAAGAAATTCCCATTCCTAATCGAAAATTATTTTTCCCCAATAATCATGCTATGGAGATCTTGCAAAACTAATAGGCTGACGGGCGCCGTTGGGTCACCGTCGGAGCTGGTAGGCGGATGGTGTCCCGGTCACGTTTTGATGGCGTCCGGATCATGTGATGTTGGTATTCGATTATGTTGCAATGACGTCCCGATCATATTTTAATTGTGACCCAGTCATGTTGTGATAGTGTCCCGGTCCTAATTTAATAGTGTCCCGGTCATATTTTGATGGTATCCCGATCATGTTTTGATAGTGTCCCGGTTATGTTTTGATAGTGTCCCGATCGTATTATAAGGGTGTCCCGGTTATGTTTCGATGGTATTCCGATTATGTGATAGTAGCGTGGTCATATTAAGATAGCGTTCCGTTCATGTTTAGATTGTGTCCCAATCATGTTGTGATGGTGTCCCGGTCGTATTTTAATGGTATCCCGGTTATGTTTTAATGGTGTCCCGGTCATGTTGGGATGGTGTCCCGGTTATATTTTGATGGCATCCCGGTCATATTTTAATGGTATCCCGGTCATATGATAGTGTCCTAATCATGTTATGATGGTATTCCGATTATGTTTTAATGGTATCCCGGTCGTATTGTGGCGGTGTCCCGGTCATGGTTTCATGGTATCGCAATCATATGATGGTAGCGCGGTCATATTGTGATGGTGTCCCGATTATGTTTTGTTTGTGTCCCCGATTATGTTTTGATTGTGTCCCAGTCATGTTGTGATGGTGTTCCGGTCCTGTTTTGATGGTGTTCCGGTCATGTTGTGATGGTGTCCCGGTCATGTTTTGACGGACGGTGTCCCGGTCATGTTTTGATGGTGTCCCGGTGATATTTTAATGGTGTTCCGATCGTGTTGTGACGGTTGTGATTGTGCCCCAGTCATATTATGACGGTGTCCCGATCATGTTCTGATGGTGTCCCGATCATGTTTTGACGGTAGCGCGGTCCTGGTCCTGTTTTTAATGGTGTCCCGGTCGTGTTTTGATAGTATCCCGGTCATGTTTTGATGGTGTCCCGGTCATGTTGTGATGGTGTCCCGGTCATGTTTTGATCGTGTCCCGGTCATATTTTGATGGTCTCCCGGTCATATGATGGTGTCCCGGTCATCTAATGATGGTGTCCCGGTCATGTTTTTAATGGTGTCCCGGTCGTATTGTGACGGTGTCCCGGTCAT